TCCATTTTTTTGTTGGCATAGTCAGTCTATTTGCATTGCAGTACCTTATTCTAGGTGTAAATATAATACAGCATTATTACTTTCTTGCTGGTTTCCTTTTAATGACTGGAGATTGCTAGTGATGATTTTCATGTCTTTCCTAATTATTTTGCTTTTAGACAAGAGTATTTCCTGACAATAAAACCACAAGGTCATTGGCTGAATTTGAATGCTATAAGGCAGCAACAAGGAATCAAGAGTATGTACTACTTCTGGTTATTTCCTGCAGCAGTACCTTTCTTCTTTGGCCCAGCTTTCTCTAAATATTTAAAAACTAGATGAACAGGAATAAGGTGCCATTTTCACCTTTCCTTTTATTCTTCATTGTGGCCTTTTGTTATTAAGAATTGATTTGCAGCTCGGATTTGGAATGACTCATGTTAAAATGGTTTGTCTAGAGTAGTGACTTTTCTTGTTTATTCTTTCCAGATCCTCTGGGAGAATCCAGATGGTTCTTGCATTTTTAGTGAAAGAACACTTGCCATCTTGCATAATATGATTGTCTAAAACTGCCCACATGCTTACCATCTGAAGCAGTGCTATCTGCCAAAGGTGTCAGGTTATCTTTCATATGGCTTTAGGAAAGTAGGCATTTCAGCCTGAAAGCTTCTCATCAAAAAGCTCCTCTCTTGGGCGACTAAAGCTGACAGTTTTTCAACTCCTTTATTAAAAATACAATTCACCAATCTGAAAAAGAAAATCTAATTATTTAACTGCCAGTGGTTTTCCCCATGGTAAAATAAACCTTATGTGTTTACAATCAAGTTAGCTAGACTTTAACCAATTTACTTATTTAACCAAGTATTAAAAAAATCCATACTATACCTTGTAAGTTCTTCTAAACTCCTTTTATTTCCATTGATTTTGATTAACTAGGTAATTGGCAGCTGATCAATAGGCACAATCCTGATGAGCTGCTTTGGCTGAAACTTCCTTGCAACAGGGCTCAGAGAAGAAGGAGCCAGAGGTTTGCTGACACTCAAATCTATCTTCAATGAAGGCAAGCTGGCTAATAAGTATTTAATGGACAGTTGTTTGCAGTTTAATAGAATTAGATAATTCTATTAGAATCCTGTTTGGAGACCTACAGGTATCATATATCACAGTTGAAGACATGGTTAATAATTTAAGCTAAGTGACTAGTAATTAGACAGTCAGATTAAGCAGGAACTTTGGGGTTTAAGCTATTTGGGAATGTGTGTGTGTGTGTGTGTGTGAGAGAGAGAGAGACAGAGAGAGACAGAGAGAAAGAGAAAGAGACAGAGAAAGAGAGAGAGACAGAGACAGAGAGAGAGAGAGAGAGAGAGAGAGAGAGAGAATCATGTAGGAGTTTAGACTATAAACCATTACACAGATTAGCTAATGCAGCAAGTCTGGACCGAGCCTTAAATGTGATAACAAAGCATGAGGCCCCTGGGGTTTATTTAATATCTCATCCTCTCAGTTAATGAGATGGAAAATAGTTCACTGTTTATCTACAGTAGGTTGAGCAGATGTTGCCAATTCCATTTTATGGAACGCAATCTTGGTGAGATTGTCTTCTGCCCATTACCTTTTCAGGGCTGCCATCTCTCCTGCATGCCTCGCATTTTGGGGGGCGCACATCCCCTCTGGCCATGGCCTAGATGAAAAAACTTCTAAGGCGGGACTTAATAGCCACATCAACTTCTGAACACTCAGTCACTCCTAATATGAAAAAGCCGGTTGGTTGACAAAGATTTGCAAAAAGCATGGGGCTTCTGCAGCATGAAGACTGTTGACTCTAAGCGTCTGTCCTATCAAACTGTTGTTCATAAAAATTTTTGAGTTTGGGATTTAATTTATTTTCCCCTTCTCGATTTCAATATTCTAAAATTATATAGCATATTAATTACATTGCATTGAAGAAATCTAGTATAAGTTTTTTTTAGTAAACAAGTTCAGCTATCCAGGACAAGTAGGTAGTTAATATTTTCCTAAATTGTGAAATAAGGATAAAATGGCTAATTTACAAACATGATGCAGTAGAGCTCTAGCTAAAGGAAGCAAACCATTTTAGCAAGTGGTCCTGTGGGTCTGTGAGGACTTGTCTTTGTCTGCAGGAGAAAGCCTGGTTGGTAGTGGATGTAAATATTACAAAGACACATTTTTTTTCCTCATACAAAAATGTGGGTAGAGTGTAGTACGTGGTCAGTGGTGTACAAATGATAACGGTGAAATCTCTGTGATTCTTTTCACTTGTTCCCTTACGCCCCAAGACGTCTCTCTAGTCATTATGTTTGCATTCCAGGAAAAATATAGCGGAGAGGCTAGATTTCCACCCCCCTCCAAAAGTCCCAGGAGATGTCTTCTTTCTCTTGATCAGAAATTCATCACATGGCTAGCCCTAGTTGCAAGGGACTTTGTAAAGTAATTTTTAATTCAATAGGGAAGGAAGGAAAAGGAGCGGGAATGAAATAATTATTGAGTGAACCAGCCTACACAACTTGCCATATTCTTGAAGGAAATATTCTCATTTTATAACAATTTTTGACTTAAGTCTCTTTTACAGGGGATAAACTCTTTAAGGTTTCTTTAGGCTCAGTGTTTTAAATTCAAATTGCAAAGCCTTGCATGTAGTTATTGGAAGTACTTTAGAAATTGTGCTATATTTCTTTTTTTTTTGGTATTGGGAATTGAACTCAGGACCTTGTGCTTGCCAAGCAGGCACTGTGCCTGCTGAGCTACATCCCCGGCCCTGATGCTATGTTCTTGAGAGAAAGAAACACAAGGATTTCATACTGCTATGTTGTCCTCTCTACTCTCAGCAGATTTATAGGAGATAGCAACAGAAATTTGCAGAGATGTTTGCTGCTATCATAATAGTTCGTTGAGTAACAATTTAGAGTCTTCCATATAATTTGTTATTTCAGATTTTTGGGGTAATATGAAAACAGTTCAGATTTAACTTATGCTTGTTGAGCCCCAGTTAATATTTTGAGCATCATGCTAGGGACATAGCATTAACTCAGCAGGTTGAGCAGATGTTGCCAATTCCATTTTATGGAACGCAGTCTTGGTGAGGCTGTCATCTGCCCCTTACCTTTTATGGCTTCCATCTCTCCTCAGAATAATCCTATGTGAAGATGGTAATATTCTTTACTTAGCATCATTCTGAACTTCTTTTTCTTGTCTATCACATCCACTTGGCCGATCATGCTGTTGCTACCTTTGAAATAGTTCTTAGTCTGGTCACTTCCAATCTCTACCTCTAGTACCTTAGCCTAAGTCAGACACATCATTTGCACGAACTCCTGGATGAGCTTCCAGTACTGATCTCTCTGTTCTACTCTGTGACCCTCTCCTTTTCCTGCCTTTGTTTTGTTTTGTTTTGTTTTTAATTTACATGTAAAAGAGTAGAAGAGGATGTATATGGTAGGTGGGCAAAGAAAGGCCTCAGCTGTGGAACAGATCTCTGGGAGAACATAGCCATGTGGATGTAAGGAGTCCATAGAGTGTTCCAAAGGATTGCAGAGAAACCCGGTAGTCATGGGACAAAGAAAACACCCCAGACCCTCAGTCCCATTAGAAAAAAAAGCATGGAGGGAGACTGGAAAGGATTGCAGCATTTATCAGGCAGCCAGCGTCTCCTTTGCAAGTTGTACACACTGCTCTACACAGTGTGTTGACTTTATACAAGAAGGCTGAACTGCCGCCATCCATTCAGAAGACAGTGGTGTGTAATGAAAGCAGAACAGCAGGAGCTGTGCAGTGGAGAAGGCACTTTGATTTGTAGCTTCTTTTGTTGCTTTCCTTTTGAGTTTCCTTGGTTCTGTGGTTTGGACCTCCACAGACCTAGAAAAGTTCAGAAACTTGAAAGGGAAAAAGGCCTTCCTCCCCAGGGCTGGCTTCTCCACTTTCATCCTGTGTCAGGTGTTCATGCCTTACAAAGATGGCGCTAAATGGAACTCTCTGCAACCTCGAGATAGCTGGGAGTCCTTCTGAGAGCTTATGTTCTGGGAATAATGGAGTCTTGTTACTACAGGCTGTTAACACACACCCTTCCATTGTTGAAGAAAGACATCCAGGCAACCACAAAGCACACAGCTTCCAGTAGAATCTCATTCTTGAGGATCTCTCGGGGAGTTTGGTTCTGTGAAAGGAACACAGAAACCTCAGGCCCTCACTTCTAAGAGCTATTTTTCCTTTTTCCCTGAGTAAGTTATTTAATTTTATCGCTATGTTTTGCAATACAAAGAGTTTAAAGTAGCTGGTTGTAAGACGCTACCTACAAGTACAGGCAATTTCAGGGCATGTGTTTTGAAATGCAGTTGTATTATTTTCTTTGAAGGACTGAGATTCTAAATATCAGTATCGGTATCTACACAATAGACTAAGTGTCTTGCTGTCTGTAATTTTCTATGTGTCATTCTACCTCAATTCCCAAGGAAGATAAATACATGGGATATGTTCTAATATGTCACCACCCTTTGTCTATATGGACATTGCTATTCAATTATGACATTCTGTCCTGTTAGGCCATAATTTGGCTTTTAAGAGATTGTCAAAGGTTTTAGAAAGTCATTCTTGATCAACTGAGATTTGTACCTCAATGAAAAACATTATCTAGGGGGTAAAAATTCCTGTTTACCTGACTCTAGGATCCTTTTACCAAAGACCCTCTTAAAGGCCATGCACTCATTTGCTAGATTCCAATACTGAAAAGGGAAATATAAAACTTCATAGTAAGTTTTAAGTAGACATAGGGTAGTAGGGGTAGGGGCAGAAAACAGAGAGAGAGAGAGAGAGAGAGAAGAGAAGAGGAGAGGAGAGGAGAGATGTTTCATTTATATTAGGTGTTTTTGTCTGTTAGGCTGATTATAAAAAAAGTAGTTTAGCAGATCAATTATAGTTAGAGTGACAGGGTGCAATAGTAATAGTTGAGACACGCTTCATTAGGCATTTGTGAGTATGGCTTTTTTCTTCTCACAGGTCTGCCTGGGTCAGTGGAATTACTGTGAATTTGGGTCAAGGACCTGAGTAAGCAGGGAAAGGCTCATTTATCACCAGAGAAGGGTAAGACAACTGTCATCACTCCATTTGACTCCAGCTGTGAAGTGAACAGTTTATTTTGCTTTGATGATGATTTGAGAGACTCATCAATAAAATCACCAATACTCTTTTCAGTGCAGCAATCTATCTGCATGTCAGTGTGTTTGTGTGCATGTGTGTGTGTATATGCATACACATGTGCTTGCTGCAAAAAGAAAAACAAAGAATGCAGGGAAAAGCTTTACCTTTATATACATATTTACGTATGATTTCCCAGTCTCCATTCACTGATGTTAAGTACTCATCTCAGAGTTTCCAGCTGGCCCATCATTGTCCTGATATTTAGCATATTGAGCTTGTTTCACAGCTTTATTGCTCAATTGTGTTTCAGTTGCCTACTGTGCAACTCATATAACCAAGCCTAGAGGATTTTTTGGAGGAAGGAGTGATTAACTGGAAGAAATGGGCTGAGTAGACTGTCATCAATCATTTTCTTTATTTTCACGAGCTCGTTTCTTGAAACTTAATCATTTTGAAGATTAAAGTCCTTGTAATGATTTCTTGGGTACTTACTAAACTAACACACACTCAACTCTTAAAATACTATGCAAGACACTGTACCAAACATTCTTTCATGATTTCATTCAGTCTCCACAGCCAGAGGGTGGGGTCCATTCTGTTGTCATTCTCTGCATTAGTGTGAGCTAGGTATTCTAACAATAGACCGAGAATAAGCAAGGATTTAGATATTGTAGAAGTTTCTTCTTTGCTCACATAATAGTACTGAGTAGGTGAAAAGAGTAGAGGTGCTGTAGTAGCTTACATCCATTTAGTTATTCAAGGAGCTAGGATGATGGAGGTTTTCCATCTTCAAAAAGCTTTTTAAGATCACCCCAGGGGATCATCTCCATTCTATCGGCCGAAAGTTGAAAATAATATAGATGGAATATTGTATGAGATGTTTTATGTGACAAATCTGGAAGTTGAGATCATCAACTTTTTTCATGCTCAGCTGGTGGGATTTAGAACATAATTAATACTAGTGGCAAAGGCAACAGGCAAGTGCTCTTGGCTGACCTTCCATCTTGCTGAGACAGTCTTACTCTATGGGGGGCAGATGTTTTGTGATACACTAGTCATCTTCCCCCTAGTCCATCCTTTTGGCTACCAGCTATCTAAGAGCACTTTTGCTCTCATACCACTTCTTAAGAAAGACAATCCAAAGTCCCGTTCCATTACTGCATTTACGTTAAAGTCCAGGCCTTGGGTAATGAGTGTGAATGAGTGTGATTCCCTGACTCCTACAACAAAGAACTGAAGGTTGCATTGTCTTCCCTCCTCTCCCAATACCTCAATAAATGATGACATCATAATTGCACATATAAACTCCATCCTGGAAAATGTAAACATGAGAAATGTTTACAAGTTTCATTGGTTCTTTACAATGAAGAAACCATCTCCAGTCCAAAAAAGGTCTTGTGAGCATTGGGGTAGAATGCATCTTCTCTATTTGCTACATATATGCACACATATGTATGCAAAATATATATTATATACTAAATTCATATGTGCATATAGGATAATTGTATCTATGTGGATGCATATTCATACTTACTCATATCTGTGAAGAAAGAACATATGTAAATAGTGAACCAAGCTTGTTATTCAAATCTATATTTTTGTTACATTTTAAACACTTTTATTATGTGAAATAAAGTATATATTGAGAAAACATGAAAAATTTTGCACGGAAATAAAGGGAACATCAGGATAGTCATCATGCAGATCAAGAAATACCAACATGTAACAAGACTCCCAAGCTGGGTGTGGTGGCACACGCCTGTAATCCCAGCATTCAGGAGGCTGAGGCAGGAGGATTGTTGTGAGTTTGAGGTCAACCTGGGCTACAAAGTGAGTTCAAGACTAGCCTGAACTACATAGTGAGACCTTGCCTCAAAAAAAGACCAAAAAATATGTCTTCCTATCACTTCCTTATCACAACTCTTTCTATTACTGTGCAAGATAACCACTCTCTTGAATTAAAACATGAACAATTTAACATAGAAATAGAGGGAACATCAGTACAGTCATCATACAGGTCAAGAAATCCTGTTACCAACATGTAAGCAGTCTCCCTATTACTTCCTTATCACAGCTCTATCACTGTGCAAGGTAATCACTCTATTGACTCAATGGAAATCACTTTTTCCCTTGTCATGTGTTATTCCTAATACACGCATTTTAAATCTCTTTTCGAGTTTTATGAGTTTTACATGAGTTTGTACAAATTTTCCTGTCTTTTTTTCTAAAAACATTTTTTAAAATATTGCTTGAGTTGCCTTATTTGTATTCATGATCTAAAAGTGTTTATCTCTTATTATAGCTGGTTACAGTCTTAAGCATTATATTTTCAGAAAATGTACTTGTCTGCTGTTTTGCCAAAAATTAATAAACAAAGGTTATTCTGTATTAACCACCGTGTGTACTGCTTCTTTTGGCAAACTGTCATTGTTTAGATCTAAAATGTCCTCCAAAAGTCTCGTGTGTTCAGGGGTGGGGCCTCTGGTGTTCAAAGGAAGGTGATTGAAACATGGGGATGCTGTACACATCAGTAGACTACTTCATTGATGAGTTCGTAGAAAAATGTGCTGTTAGGAGGTGAAGCCTTGTTGGAGGTGGTGGGTTACTGGAGATATGACCTGGAAGGGAAGGGTATATTCTTGCCCTTAGCACTTCTCTTCTTCTTCTTTCTTTTTTTAAAACTTATCTGTATTTGTTACCTCTTAAAGCAGGGTGTGACCTCATTTCCATTCACATAACTTGTTCTGGATTATTTCCCAAACAGCAATGCAGTATACCTAGAAAGTTTAGTTTCTTCCTCTAAACAATACTTCTCTTTGGAAAACAAGTCCCTTGCAGCTTCTGCCACCAAGTTGTTTCAGTTTAACATACTTATTTCTAGAAGCCTAGGACATGCAGATTTGAAACTACAGGGGAAAGTTTAAAAAAAGATCCTGCAAGAAAACTCAAGCTATTTTAACAAATATTCCTTTAAACATCAAGATATCTCAACACTTCCGAGACAAAAGATTTGGTGTACTAAGGAATCCGGCTCGATAACTAAACACGTCAGGTCACAAAGTTAACAGTAAGTTACGTCTTACCACAAACATGTCAACCTGTTAAAATAAGCCAAGGTGAAAACTAGAGAAAGTACTGCTAGCTCTGCTTTAGGGCTTAAAGTATCACAGCATCACTTAAAAGTAGAAAGAAATCTTATCTTCCCCCTAAGCAGTTATCATGCCGTACAGACTTATATGTTAACAAAAAATCCTCGGAAATATATTATCAGAAGAAATGAAGGTAAAGCACTGGGCACACATCCGACTGGTTCTTTGGGCAGAGCTCAGTCGACTTCTTCTATGCGGGATGTGTCGTCATTTCCTTTGAAGGGCAGCATCTCTTCACTGACAGCAGCAGTGGTATCCTTGGCGGTAGGGTCATCCTTATCGATACCTAGACCCAGCTTGATCATCCTGTAAATTCTGTTCGTGTGTGCCTGAGGGTCTTCCAGACTGAAGCCAGAGGACAGCAGCGCAGTTTCATAAAGCAAGATGACCAGATCCTTCACAGACTTGTTCTTATCAGCCTCGGCCTTTTGCTGCAAGGTCTCGATGGAGTGGTTAGGGTTTATCTCCAGGTGCTTCTTGGCTGCCATGTAACCCATCGTTGAGCTGTCTCTTAGGGCCTGGGCATTAATGATTCTTTCCATGTTTGCCTTCCAGCTGTATGTGCTTGTGACAGTACAGCATGGGGACGTCACCAATTGGTTGACACCACCACCTTTTCAACCTTTTTCTCCAAGATGTCTTTCATGATCTTGCAGAGGTTTTCAAACTTTGCCTTTTTCTCTTCCTGTTTCTTTTTCTCCTCTTCATCTTCTGGAAGCTGCAAGCCCTCTTTGGTAACTGACACTAAAGTCTTACCCTCAAATTCCTTCAGCTGTTGGGCACAGTACTTGTCAATGGGCTCGATCATATAGATCACTTCTAAGCCATGCTTCCAAAGCCGTTCCACAAAAGCTGAGTTAGCTACCTGGTCCTTGGTTTCACCTGTGATGTAATAGATGTGCTTCTGGTTCTCCTTCATCCTGGTACAATAGTAGCACTTCTCTTCTTGCTGCTTCCTGGCTGCCATGGTTTGAATGATTTTCTTCTGCCACACAGTTTTACCATTCTGTTTCTGCCTTTGCGACATCGAGCCATGGAATGAATCCATGGAAAGCTTGGACCAAAATAAACTACTTCTTTAATTTCATGTGTCTGGTGTTTTCTCTCAACAATGAGAAAGTGACTGATACAGAAAATTGGCACTAAAGAAGTGGGTCATTGCTATAACTATGTGTTCCAGAGCCTTTGGAATTTGTTTATGAGAGAGGGTTGGAAAGACATGGAGACACAGGCTAGGGAAGCTATAAAATTATATAAACAGAACATTATGGATGGTTCTGGTCATTGCTCAGAAAACTAGAATGCTAATAGGAATAGAGACAGTAAAAGCCAAGCTGATAAATTTTCAAATGGGAATGAGGATTATACTGGAAACTGGACCAGAGACCATACCTGTTTCATTCTGGCAAAGAATTTGTTGACTTTTTGCCTATGCCCTAACATTTTGTGTGAGGTTGAATTTAAAGGTTGTGGACCATTAATATGGTGGAAAAATTTTTAAGGCAATCCAACATTCAGGTTATAGAATGGGTACTTTGGACTGTTTTTAGTCAAATCTGCAGTGAGAATCAGGAACAAAAGGCAGTACTGAAATATTTGAAAATTTTGCTGGAAGAAAGAGAACTTGGTCAAGTTGGGGCCAAGGAAAGTGTGGTACATAAAAAAGTTGGTCATTAAAAAGAAACCAAGTATTTTACACTGTAACAATAGGAAACATGTTTTGAGGGCATCTGAGGTTTGACCAGACTACATCCATGGCAGCCTTCAGGTTATAAAAAGGTAAATTCCTTGGAAAGACTGTTTTGAGAAGAGAGCCTCCAGGACATCTTACTCATTCAAGACATCCTAGAAGTAAATCCCAGAGTTCAGTCATTCAGACATTCAGAGGCTACTGTAGCCATTGTCCAATGGGGCTCAGCTACTGCTGAAGCTGGTGGCGGACCTTGTTATCATTCATGTGCTGCTGATTTCACAGGTGTGAAAAATGTAGGAATTGTGGAGTCATAGAGATGTCCACCAAGGTTTTGATGGAAGGGCTGGGAGGGCAGACAATGTGCCCCCAAAGAGGGCAATGTGTAAAACTGTAAGAGTGGAGCTAATTGTGCAGTGGAGATCCCAAGTAGTTGAAGATGCCAAATCATGGAGTGTCTGCTGAGGGAAGTTGCAGGCAGTGAGTGAAGCCAGCACAAGGAAAGAGTAAGGTGGGTTGCAACCAATAAAGCCACAGAGATGAGGATGCACAAGTCCTTTGAGCTCAGATCTTGCCACCATCCCTAGATGTTGCATTGAAGGACTTAATGTTTGTCCTGCTGGTTTCAGTCTTGCTTTGGTCTGATCTTCTCTATTCTCTCATTCCTTCCATTTGCAATGGAAATATTTATCCTGTGCCATTGTATGTTGGAAGTATTTTACTTTCTTTTTTATTTTTACAGGGAATCAGAGCTATCAGTTTGCTTTAGGTCTCAGAGGATACTTTGGACTTACACTTTAGCAATGCTGGAATTATTATTATTATTTTTTAAATTTTATTTTAAAGAGAGTAGTAAATGAGAAAAAAAAAAGAACAATAGCAGCATACCAGCATCACAAACATAAATGACCAAAGAAAGAACATTTAACGTGAAACAGGGTTTCAAGAAAAAATAATATGAATTAACAGTGGTTGTTATATTACATATTGTTATCTTCAACTACGTTGCTCAGATTACCAGATGTAAGAATGGAAGATTGTTCAAACCATTAAAGGGAATAAGAAAATAATTATTAGATAAAACATTAGAGATAATACAGAGTTTCACTAGACAAGATGGTAGGAATTCATGATGGTATTATTAAGACTTTCGTAGCTCAAAGATGAACTAAGTACATTTTGCATAATGAGATGGACATGATCCTTTGGTAGTGAAGGGCATAATGTTATGATATAGATCTAAAATGTTCCCTCAAAGGCTCATGTGTTCAGAGGTAGAGATTTAAAAAGGTGATTGGGTCACAAGGGTCATTCATCAGTTTATCACTCCATTGGTACATTCATAGCTGCATGTGCTATTAGGAGTTGGGGACTGGTTCAAGGAGGTGATTCACTGAAGGTGTGACCTTGAAGGGTACACTCTTGTCTCTGGTACCTTACTTCATTCTTATTACTTTCTGTCTGCCATGGGTTGAGCAGCTTTCCTCTTCCATGCCTTTCTTCCATGCCACCTCCTTCTTGGAGTTAGCTAACCCTGGACTGAATCCACTGGAACCATGAGCCAAAATAAACCACTCCTCCTTTAACTTGTGGGTGTTGGGTATTTTGCCCTAGCAGTGGCCAAGTGAATAAGACACCAACCTATGCCTTTTTCTTCAGTACTTGTTATAACATGCATACAATAAAATATGCAAATTTTAAGTACATAACTTGATGAAGTTTTAAAGTGTATGTGCCCTTGTAACCACCACCAAGACACATTATAGGATTTTTTTGCAACCCAAAGGCTTTCTCATGCACTTACCAATGGGTACCAACCTTCGGTAGATAGCCACAGTTCTGATTTATATCATCATATAGATATCATATCCAAATGATTATATATCTTTATTCAGCATTCACAAGCTCCATTTCCAAAGATCGTTTATTTTGCTTTTCAGGTCACTATCTCTTTCAGATTGTTTTTTTTTCCTTATAGGTAATTCAGTTATGACTCAGGATCCCTGGCTCTGTAGCTACTTGGGGGAGAAGGATAGAAGAAACGTAGCTCTGCAGACTTTTCATTAGATCCGTGAGTAGCTTAACTAAGGAATGTGAGGAATTTCATGTAACACAGCCAGTGTTCAGATGCTCACTCAAGTTGTCTTTGGAGGCATATCTCTTCCTTTATTTGGAGTACGTAGGATCTGAGGTTTGGCCTTAAAAATGTGTTCAAATCACTTTGAAAGCAGAGGCTGATTCAGTTGTTCTCCAGCAGTTTAATTAACTTTCTTACTGACAGTCACTTCAGTCGTTGTCTCTTCCAGGGCTTTTTCACTGATCCTAGTGTCTTCATTTGGGGATTGTTCTGTAGCTTTGTTGGTCTTCCCTTTTGTCCATAGAGAGCAGAAGGTTTCTCAATTCTTTAGGAGTTCACTGTGAACCTTATGACATGCATTTTTTATCTTCCAGAAGTTCTTTAATGACTGGGTTTTCTGATGCACCCTCAGTGCTCAGTCAGCTGTCATGAAGTGGGTCTGCCTCTGTCTGCTGAATTTTGTGTCAGGGATGCTCAAGAATGAGCCAAGAATCTCAATAGCATTCTTGGAACAGACTACAACATTGAAAGCAATGTCCTTTCTATGTTTCAATAATTTGTTTAAAATCATTCCCACAGAATCTTTCATTTTGCTGGAACCTTTCAGAAGGACAGTTTTGTGGTGAGCCTGGGAGATATATATCTGGATAATGGCATGAAATTTCATACAGGAGGGCTCATGGTCCTGTTAAGGGAGCCAGCTACCATGCTAGGGAAGGCCTGAAGGAAGGGAAGCTACGACCAAGCCATCCATGGAGGAGGCTGTATATTTAAATTTGTTACGTTGTGCTGTGGTTTTGTTTACTTTTACCTAAAATTAAACCCATCAACTGATTTTTAAATTGACTTTCAGCATTTTTTACAATATTTGGATGAATAAAATTAAGATTTAACTATGATTAGCATCAAGAATTATTTCACTATAACTACTATTCAAGCCTTTAGTTAAGTTTATTAGATATCTGTTTTTGTCATTAGGAAATATTTAGAAAATGCAGATAAATTTAATAAAAATAATTTCATGTTTAATTACCCCTATCCAACATTATTGACTTTTTAAGAATATGTTTTTAGACTATTATCTCTCATGTCTGAATTAGACTTAATAGAAATTGTATAATTTACAGTTACACAGTAAGTGGGAAAACTATGCAATAAACCAAGGTAGACTCGCTTCAGACTCTTTGCTTCTAAACATTATAGTTTATACCAGGCCATATGTATTAAACCTTGACCTTAGGAAGCCCTGGAAGATGTAGGATTTTAGCAGTGGGTGACTATCAGGAAAAGGCCAGTGGAGAATCATTCTTTTATATACCAAGGGAAATGGGGTCCTTTAGGACCTGTGCCTTAGTTTCCCCATAGGTTTTGATTCTCTTAACACATTGGCTCTGATATACTGTCTTCCAAGGACATATTCTACAGAGTAGACTCATTATGTGTAGCTACTTCATTTTATTTTTTAAATAGAGACTCTGCACTGTTGATCTCTCTAGTAAAACAACAACAACAAAGACTCTCATGGATTCTACTCTTGTTAATTATCAGCCTGGGTGCTGTTTTCTTTTTGAGACTGGGCAAAGACAGAGAATGCACTACGTACTCCACAGTCTTCTTTATTATCCTTCAGTTTGCTCATCTTCTTGGCAGGCTCACAGAAGTTAGCAAAGACACAGAGAACTGGGTCATCACAACGTCTCTCTAAGACCTGCTTCAGGCGGTGCATTTCGGCAAGGGGCAGATCACAGGGATCAGACACTGCAGGTGATGGTCCACATTCTTGGCTCTTACTATGAAGTGCTATGCCCAGCTCTACTCAGGGCTTTCTTGCTCAGAGGCCAGGCTGGCATTCTCTGCGTAGAGCTCTGTTCCATTTGAAAACAGCTGTGCCTAGAAGCAGATGAGCGTCTGCAAAGTAGGGATCATAAGTCAGCAGAACTGTGCTACAGAGGCATTTTCTGTTACTGCTTTTGGTGGATGCTGACTAGGAAATCAGACTCTCCATAATCAACAAAACTTTATATCATGCATTTTAGAAGTTAAAAATCTAAGCTAGAGATCCTTAATGATTTACACCCCTGGACAAAAGCTGCAGTCCTTAGATTTTGTGTTTTACCGTACAAATATGATGATGATTTAATTGAAGCAAATGTTATCCTTTGAAATAGGTTTTTTTTTTTAAGTTTGCTAACTTATGATTACAAAATCTAACTTTTCCTGGATGAATGTCATGTGACTTCATTTCCCCTGAGCCTTCTCCCTGGTATCCACAAGACAAGTTTTAATGGGGATCTTATTCTCAGGGACAAAAGGGACACATCATTTAGAGATCTTAAGGAACCAAGGAGTGGTAGTACATATCTCCTACTACTTCCTTTGGTTTAGTTCCTACAGATGAGAAGTTTAGGTGTTTTTTGTTTTGTTTTATTTTTACATTTATAAGCCTGCTGTTTTTTTCTTTTCTCAACAAAATCCAGCCATCCTTGGGAGTCTATCACTTATCCTAAGGGTGGTATTCTAAATTTCAATTTTGAAATTAAATTTAAATTTAAAAAGAATTTGGATAAGAAATGTACACCAAGTAAAAGTTTGTGATTTTTATCAGATAGGCTGAGTAAG